AAGTCCATCAAACAGAAACTAACGCCTTCATACACATTCAGGGTTCAGTATTTTGCTCTTGGAATGTTAGACACTGTTGGTACACAGAGTGCTGTTCATCATTGTTATGGAGTAGAAAAGTTTTAATATAATGAAGTTTATACAGTGAATACAGCTCCAAGTCTATCTAATGGCTAAGCCAGCTGTAGAAGATGATCACTTTTATGTCTTGTCACTGTATGACAATTGTCATGAACAGTAAGGGACATAATCATTACAGTCTTGAAAAACTTTATTGAGATATGCACAATATGAAAATTAAAATGTGTTACCACCAGCTATGGGTCATTTCATAAGCTTTAAACTCAGCATGTCTTTTCTAATGGTAAACGGTTCCGTTCCATTCAGGTCAAACAGAGTCAGGGTGCTGCTATTGTCCATGTTGGCTCACTGGAAAAGCTCTGCTGCACTAAATGGAACGGAACCTTAATAAGTGTCATTGGTAAAACCTGTGTTTACCCTATTTTATTTCAAAATGGCTCCAATCACTCCAAATAGTAAGGTTCTGTAATGTCTTTGCTGACACTAAAAGGCTGATGAAATGAAGTTTTTTCACAGCATCTCTAGCACCTGCTGTTAGGATTAGGGTCTCTACCATCCGCTGTTAGGGTTAGGGTCTCTACCATCCGCTGTTAGGGTTAGGGTCTCTAGCCTTGCATTGCTGTCAGGAAGCACTCAGTTCAGTTTCTCACTATAATGAGAGACTTTCTACAAGATCCCTTTCATGTTGTAACATGTCCTGCTGATGACAAATTTTCCTTCCTACTAAAGACATACTTCTTCAGAAGCAGTCGGACTACTTTCTGCAGCGGACTAATCCACATTTGGTGTATTTCTGACAGCAGGACGGTGTATGTAGGAATGAGTCAAAATAAAAAACGTGTTTGTGGTAATGAAGGGACAAATGCAATGTTTTTCTTCTCTTTCTTTGTGATTATATACACTCTCGGGAATTATCTTGCTGGTTGAATAATTCCATATTTTAGTTATGTATAGCAATTCCCACATCAAATCACCATATTTGCTCCATGGCCCCACCTGATGTTGTGAAACTAAACACAAGTCCTAGGTTGATTTGCAATTCAACATTTAGCTGGGATGAAATTTGTCAGAATGGACTCATTTAGCTTCTCTGCACTGGCTCCCTGTAAAATTTAGAATAGAATTTAAAATTCTCCTCCTCACCGATGAAGCTCTTCATGGTCAGGCCCCT